TTTCGATTTCAACTGGGTGCATTTCGGAGAGTTTGCGCAGGAATTGCATAATCTAATTCCTCCCTCTCCCTTCCACCATCGGACAAGCAGAGGTTCGGCCAGTCTCCATTCTTTCGCCATTGACTCCCACACATTCCAACCAAACGGTTTGCTACATCGTTCGTCATGCGCACAGCAAAGGAGTGGAATAAGTTGCCAGCGTCTTTCTTTCCTTCCGATTACAATGTGGGTTTTTGTTAAATCCATGAAGGTTAGAGAAAAGGAGAACGATCGCCGTAGAAAATAGCGTCCCAGAAATATGGAAACAATAAGTGAGGCGCTGCGATTGCTAAGTTCGGTCAATAAAAGTCATGTTCAGTCTATTTTTCCTTTCAGGAGGCTAAACCACTTGTAATATTTGTTTTTGTCAAAAATTACAAAATTACGGTGCATAAATTTTTTTTCACCAATGCCGCAGAGAAAATTTGTCGAAATTTGTACATTATTCGACTAACTTCATCTACTTGTACTCATAAACAGCTAACTTCGCAGTCACTACTCACCGACGTCAGCACCGCTATAAATTCTACAATTTTCAAGGACAGGTGGGCTATGCTTTAGTACGTGGTGACAGTTCTCCAGTTCTCTAACCTTCATGGTTAAATCAGTGCGCTTCGCCATCTTAGGCTACATCACCACTCACCATCAGGTGGGATTGTAGTTAAGCACTGGCTGAGAATAGTTTAAAAAATGTGCGCTATTGTGAGTTTATATGGTAACGCTATTTAATCTTTTTATGCTTATTTGTTGAATGATAGAAATAATGAATTTCCTTTATTGCTGCTAATATACCCATTGCTTTCAATAAATGAAGTTTAACCGGCAATAACAAAAAAATCGTGCTAAAAAAATTCTATCTACCTATATATCTATCGTTTCCCATCGACCTTTTAAAAGTTTCTACGATTAAGATTCGAAGTTAGACAATTTTCTAAACTAATCACACTGACATCAACAGCGAGATTTCCGGAGGGGACTTCAAATTTTCTTATCGATTCCCTATGGAATTAAAGCGAGGGTTCGTTAAATGGAGATTTACATTGACTTTCCAATGTGTTTCGATAAAAGCTTTTTTCTTCTTTACTAATCTCACTTTAATAAGCGTGCAATATCAAGTCTGTTTTTAAATTTTCATTGTGACAGCACTGGTTGATTTGATTAATAATTTTACAATATGGTTTAAAAACTATTACGAACTTAAATAAAATAGTACCCGGATGACCGAGCTTTGCTCGGTTTTTTTAAGTTACATTTATATACAAATTACAAGAATAATAGTTTTTGATCTTATTGACATAATAGAAAAAACTGAACTGGTTATTTGAATAAAAAATCATGAATTAGATTAATTAAAATTTTCTTATTTTTAAATAATACTAAGAAAAGGACTCGAAATAATAGATTTTCTCACAAAAGAAGGAAACTTGAAAAAAAAAGGAAAAAAGTCGGACTCAAAACGGGACGCGAACCACGGAACTCCGATATCACGCCCGAACAACATCCCATCTGAGCTATTACGATCGTTACTAACCTGTCAAAATTTACTTTCTTATATTGTAGCAGTTTTTTTATCGCCTGAAAACACGGACAAAGTGACATTTTCTAAAAATAAATCCTAGCTAGATCGATTTATTGTCCCCGAAACTCTCTGGACACTAAATTTTATGAAAATCGTTGGAGCCGTTTCCGAGATTCCGATTATATATACATATATACAAGAATTGCTCGTTTAAAGGTATAGGATTATATTATTTACAACTTCCCTGTCAACGAAAAAGACACAATAGTTATGCCATCGAAATGTTCATAATATACGACCAGTTCATATACTTATAATATATGATATTTCATCACAGGACAGAAGGTTAAGAAGGTTAAGAAGCTAACAAACTGGTTAAGAAGCTACCAAAGAGAAACTGGCCTTTTACTCTTTTTTATCCATTTTAAATGATTCATACATATGTATAATATTGACATGGAATAGCAAAAACTATTTTTAATAAAAATTAAAAGCTGACTTCAGAGAACGAAAAAGAATAAAATGATTTCTCGTTCTGGAGTCAGTGATAGTGAGACATTAATTTAGTATTATATTGTCATCAATTTAATAATAAATATGCTAAATTTAAGAACATTCAAACGTCTAGAAGTAAGTAAGAATTGAATAGCAAAATGTTATAATTCATTTTTTTGTAATGGGTGTAAAAAGAGCTAAGCCAACTTTTCTTCTTTTGTAAGCCAAAAGGCCGTAGGCCTACCCTCTTAAAACATTGTCAGAACGGGTTGGAAGTTTTCTTGAGTGGATTTAAAGACGTTCGCATTTCAAATGGCGTTTCGGAGGAGACTAAGGCAAGTACCAACAAAACCTTGACAACAACAAACCTTACCAACAAAAACTTGTACCAACAAAAACAGACCGAATACTCGGCTTCAGCTCGGCCACCTTCGGTCAAGAAACGCATCGGCAATTCGGCTGCATATTCTGGAAACTTATGTATTTTGGCCGAATTTTATGTTGTAAGCCGAAGAAACCACAAGAAACAAAATATTTTTTACGAATAGCAACAGTGTTGCGTTGTGAGCGCTTCATTATTGTTTGGAGATCAGCAATACAATTCAGTAATTATTATAATAGTTACATAATAATAACAATCTATAATATCTATAATAAGAATAAAAATCTAAAATAAAAAACTGCGGTCGTCAACCTGCTTTCCAAGACTGGAAACTATGGTGAAAATCCCCCCTATGTGGTTATATACGGGAGAGGCCTACCTATATGTTCACCAGGGGACTTTAATAATATGCTGTAACGGTAACCGTTAATAATAAATAATTGTTATTATTTAATTTTGTTAAATCAAGCCAATGACGGAAAAAGAGCTACTCCATATAGCGAATTTGATAATAAAGCCTTATTTAAGACTTACTTATCGATGTAACTATTTTTATAAGACACTAATGTCTTAGAAATCTTTAAAAATGTAGTATAAAAACAATGTTTTGTTGATTTACGAAACATTAAAAAGTTGAATATTTATATATAAAGTAAAAAATATTTATATATAAAGTATAAAGTAAAAAAGACTCATTAATTTTTCTTATCATATAAATATTCAACTTTATGTATATAAAGTATAACTGGTAACTGTCATTCATATTATATGTTGCATAAACACAACATAAATACGAAAACCTTAATGTGTATTTTACTGTTGTAATAGGCTGTGAGGATGACGAATTTTTAGATAATATACTAAATATACGATAATACTACGGAATTCGGAAAGTTATTTTTTACTTTTAATAAATACTAGATATAGTTTTAAGGCAATCGACCTAAAACTGACCTTCATTTGAAGGCGACTGATAGTTAGTGGCCGTGGAAGGACCACATTCACACTAAAAATACCAACGTAAAATAGTAGCTCAATGCTGTTGTGTTTTGTATGGTGATTGTAGAGAATCGGAGACTTGCTACTAGAAACGAGGCGTTCCATTTAAGGTGTGTCATTCCAATCTACATTTTGATTTAGAATTGATGATGTAGATGTCTGTGATAATATGGTGTAGAAGATATTCTTACACCGGTACACACTTTATGGTGTATACGTCGTTAGTGCACTAGACTTTACACTGTTTTATTTGCTTCTAAACGTTCACTAAACCTAATCAACTTCGATAGCGCAAGGAAATCGCAAGCGAACTACATATCGTATGCAAATTTAATATAATCAAAAGATATTCCATACCAGCGCCGTGCCATGAAGCCTGTAGTTTTTATTAGCATTACATATGTAAATTACTCAGAAAGTATTGAAATCAATACTATGAATTTTCGTTCTATCCCCAGTGACGTGTTTATTAACAAAGCCGCCCTGGGATATTTAGGTAAATTAACCGCGCTATTTGGCCTTGGCTATCGCAATCATACTTATATACAAATTATTTATTTATTATTTATAAAATAATCAAATAATATCAGTACTCATAAGTAGCATTTATTTAGTTAATTAAAACATTTATTGCTGAGTTTACATATTTTTAGTCATGATATACTTAATTAAGTTTAAAATTTTTCATCGCAAACTGCCAACAAAGAAGTAACTTATGAAATGATTTACTTACTGATAAATACTCTGAATCCACCACATCGCGTAAGAAAAGGCATCTAATAATAATTTTAACCTTTAACAGACATTAAAAACCAACCTGAAATCGCTATAAAAGTAGTTATTTATTTTCTACACTTAGGGTTAAATTTTTTCTTTAAAATTTAATGGGACCACCCTCGAGGTAAAGCCTATTTAATAAAAAATATCAATAAAATCAGTTTACAACCTACAAAAAAATCGCTTTACGTATACAAGAAACTAAAAATAAAAAAAATACACACGAATTGAGAACCTCCTCATTTTTGAAGTCTGTTAGAAATAAAACGTTATGATGACAACAACGCCTGCTAGAGCAGCGCTATAACTTTCACAAAAATTAGAGAAGGTGTTTGCCCAACAGTGGAACGCATGTATATATTAGCGCGCCTTGGCAGCAAAACCGAATCGTGTGCTGTGACGGCAAACGGCACGACGCTCTCTTATGCCATCATGCTCTACGACATCGCTCTTGTTTTATATTCTGTAATTATTATTATAAATATATCTTGCGCTCAAATATATTTGATGACGCCGAACTCGAACGGCTACGGCGTGAGGCTGTTCCCTCATCAAATGAAAATGCTACGGCTGAGGATGCGGTGCCACAAGTTGGAGAACAACCCGCACACGTGGATACTGCCGTGAATACCCCAGTGGTGGCCAAGGTTTCCACGGCTGGACGCGCTACTGGCCAAAGTAGCGCTATCCCAGCATGGAGAAAGAATTGAGGAGCGTATCGCAAAGGCTAGTAGAGCTCTCATCGGCAGACTGATATGCTTCAGATCAGGCAATAACAGGCCAAGAATTATGCGCACCGTCAGGATGGCATTTGCTGGGACAAATGTCAGTTTGTCCCAGCCGGATATAATGCAAAAACTGACGGAGCGCATAGATGATCTGAAGCAGAGAATCGCTGCTTGGGGAAAGCGGATTCGGCGATATACCGAGAGGTCGACTCGGTTCAACCAGAATCGTCTCTTCCAGAGTGATCAGAAAAGGCTCTATGAATCATTGGAGCTACCAATGGCAAGTGGAACGGGCCCAGCACCGAATCAGGCCGACACTGTAACATTCTGGCGCGGCCTATGGTCAGAGCCCGTAAACCACAGCGAGGGCCCTTGGACGGAAGGTGTAGCGAGTCAGTGTGCGAGTATAACGTCCATGGACCCCGTCATTATAACGCCATATGACGTAGCCGAGGCGGTCCGTAGGGCCCCGAACTGGAAAAGTCCGGGACTCAACGGATATCACTGCTGGCTGAAAGGGTTTGTGGTGTGTCACACTGTACTCGCCCGACAGTTTCAAGAGGCTCTCAACCAGAAATCACTCCCGAGCCTCTTCACTACTGGGATCACTCATTTGGTTCCTAAAGACCAGTATACCACAGACCCGAGCAAATACCGCCCCATCACGTGTCTACCGACCATATACAAGACGCTAACATCCATTTTGAGCGCGAGAATCTGGACTCAAATCAGGTGATGTCGCGCGCTCAAAATGGATGTCGGGGCGGTGGTCGTGGAACCAAGGAACCACTTGTCATTGACGCGGTCATTGGCAAAATGGTGAAACGCAACCGTCGGAACTTCCCCGCCGCCTGGATAGACTACAGAAAGGTATTCGACTCGGTGCCCCATACATGGCAAAAGTGAGTCCTCGAGCTGTACAAGATAGACTCTACAGTTAGAGACTTCCTCGAGCAGTGTATGGGGCAGTGGAACGTGATCCTTTGTCATCTGGGCGAACGGATGATGGCTGCGGAAAGCCACATAAGGATAAGAAGGGGTATCTTCCAGGGCGATTGTCTGAGTCCAATCTGGTTCTGCCTCACTTTGAACTCTCTCAGTAATTTACTGGAGGGCTCCGGGAGGGGTTTTCAGTTTCGGAAAGGAGGTACAAAAGTGACCCACCTTTTTATATGGATGACCTCAAGTTATTCGCCTCCAGTCGCTCCCATCTTGTGGAATTGCTAAACATCACTTGTGAATTTAGCAATTCTATTGGAATGGAGCTAGGGACGGATAAATGTGGTCCGGTCCGGTCCTCCATGTTGAAAGGGGAAGGGTTGCTAACTCTGAGGGCATAGACTTATCTATGCCCATCAGTTTAAGGACCCTTTCCGAGGCTGAACCATACCGATACCTGGGTGTGTCACAGAGCATCGGTATCGATGAGGCTGGTATGAAACAGTCAGTTTGCGACGTGTTTTATGCACGCTTGACCAAAGTGCTCAACAGCCTTTTGTCTGGTGTGAATAAGACACACGCATATAACGGTTGGGTCATGCCTGTCCTCATGTATACCTTTGGCATACTCAGGTGGACTCAGACTGAACTTAACGCCCTGGATAGAAAAGTCCGCACTACTATGACGTCCCATAGGATGCATCATCCCAGATCGTCGGCAATGAGGCTGTACTTGCCGCGAAAGCATGGTGGTCGTGGCTTTTTGAGCGGGCTCACCATGCATAATCGCGAAGTGTGCAGCTTCCGTAATTACTTCCTGGTGAGATCGGATGATTCATTCTATAAGGACGTCATTTTTTGTGATAAAGGACTTACCCCTCTATCCTTAGCCAACGAACAATGGCAAGACCCGGCAGTGCAGAGCATTTCCGACAGGGAGACCGTATGGAAGGAGAAGGAGCTCCACGGGAGGTTCTACAAGGCTCTACATGAGCCTTTAGTAGACACAGTAGCCTCCCTCTACTGGCTACGCTTTGGTGACCTCTTCGGGGAAACCGAGGGTTTTGTCTGTGCAATACAGGATCAGGCTATTAAGACCAACAACTATCGGAGATACATCCTAAAGGATGGCTCCGTCGACATCTGTCGAGCTTGTCGCCATCCCGGCGAATCACTTAGGCATGTCATCTCCGGTTGTTCGGCGCTTTCTAACTCTGAGTACTTGCACAGGCACAACCTAGTAGATAGAATTCTTCACCAGGAGCTCGCTCTGAAATACGGTCTCGTGGACCGGAAATTGCCGTATTACAAGTACTTGCCGGAAGCTGTACTCGAAAATGATCGCACCAGGCTCTACTGGGACCGGGCCATCATCACAGACAGGACTATTCTTGCGAATAAACCTGATATTTTGCTGATAGACCGGGCACAGTCAAGGATATTTTTGGTCGACATTACCATTCCGTATGACGAGAACCTCGTGAAAGCCGAAACAGAATATCTGAACCTGGCTCACGAGGTGACCGACATGTGGGGTGGTCTGCCGACTGGAATTATTCCTGTAGTCGTTTCTGCAAACGGGCTAATCCCAGTCAGCCTCTCGGGTCATCTGAGGAGGCTGGGACTCCGTGACGGACCGCTCCGGGCTCAAATGCAGAAGGCGGTGCTCCTTGATACTGCCCGCATCGTCCGTCGGTTTCTCTCCCTTTCCCCCTAACCCTCGGCCGTTTGATCTCCCTGCCTCCATCTGGTTGGGCTTTTATTTATTCATGTATTACTTATTTATTTGTGCTGGTATATGAAAAATATATTTATGTATATTTATCATTTCCTTTTATATATTTATTCAGCCCAACCAGATGAGAATACACTACTAATACCACAAATAAAAATATATTTTATAAAGGAAACTCTATGTTTTTTCATTCATTACCACATATTTTGTACCGGTATTCATTAATTATAAACTCTATCATCAACTATGATGTTCACATCTGCCGGGGGGCACTCAATGATGGTCAACTTTCTTTTATGGCACGTTTACATTATGGGCACAAGCAACGCGTTGGACTATTCGTGGACGAATACATCCTCATCTGTATTTATGCAACGTAGATCTCTTAAACATGGATGACGTGCGTATCGCCTCAATTTTAGGTCTATTCGATATTTATAAACTCACAAATATTTATTTGGAGGGTGTGGGGTGGCCTCCCACTAGATGGAGTGACGACTTGGTAAACCATGCAGGAAGTCGACGGATGCAGATGGCTCAGGACCGTGGTTCGGCGTGGTATGGCATTTCTTGCAAGAAGCCTATGTTTAGTAGTATACTTGTGAAGGGCTGTAATGATGATGAAGATATCTTTATTTTAATTAACATTAATTTAAAACTGATTTTACTTTCTAGGACCCCATATCACGGATTCTCCTCGATAATGTTCTACGAAAATAGTAAATTCGTTACTCCAATCCATCACAGTAGCTAGGTTTATTATTATTTAAGTAAATTATTTTATAAATAAAATAATAACCACTTGCGACAAAGTTCACGGATCAAGCGGATAATGACGAGCATGTAAACACCGACACAAATATACATGAGCATTCCTTTTACTCGGGCCAAAAAACCGACAACGATGGGTTACAATACCACCCGAATCGCCCTGGTCACGGGTAGACACAGTTTGCCACCGGACTCCCCCTCAGCCATGCATCCATCGCCACGGTACGCTTAACACCTTGGATTGGGTTAGGGTAGGAAATAGGGAGTGGAATAAAAGAAAAGAAAAAGAGGATCTTCTAAGTGTTTCAGTCCGAGTAGAGAGAGCTCCCGAACAAGGCGTTTACATACTCGTACTCGTGCCTAATCGTCTGTGCTCGGTGAGTATGTAAACATTAATGGAGAAGCAGTGTTCTTGTATGTATAACCCGCGCGCAGAAGGTTTATCGATAACAGCATGGCGTCACGCGTACATGGAAGCATTGCTAACCGACAAGTGCAAGACGCGGTTGGCGAAAGTGGAAGGGGTGATTATTTGTATATAAACTATGCATCAACATTGCTGCGGTTATAATTTACCTGAATACCTTTCTAATGGAATTCAATTAGTACAGCTAGATCTACAAGTATCCAAGTGAAATGTTTGTAAGTTTAAATACCGTGTTAGTACATCTTTCATATTTATTGCATTCATGAGTATAAGAATTGGTGACAAATACAGCTTAGGTACATCGTGAAGCTCATTTGGGCATGGCAAATGAAATAGACAATAATAAAATGTTAAATTATGAATTAAATCTAATAATAACTCAAAATAGAAATCATATGATATGAATTAAATATGTATAATCAATGATATTATAAGTAAAAAGGTGTAAATAGGTCCCCTACACAATATTCGATCTTCAAAAACGGCACACTAACGCACACATAAATAACTAAATATTGCAATAGCACACTACACTGAGATTAGACGTCAAAGTAGGATGGCATGATTAAACTTTCGCAAGCGTAAAAGAGAGAGAGAGAAGAGAAAGAAAGTTTCGTAAGCGGAAAAGTGGAAGAAAGTTAGGAAGCTATTGGGAATTTGTGACAGCAGGTTGAGCAAGCAAACAGTCGATTACGATAGTATATCAAGACGTCTACGCAGACGTTAAGGTTCTCATCATCATAGTAGCACTTCTTTCATCGTTTTCACTTAGAGTCCACATATGCAGATAGTTATTACATACATAAAATCACCTTGATTTTTGTATCAAATCTACTTCTCACCTTTATTTAAAAGATAAAACAAGAACAACAATCTGATAGCGATCACGTTTCCGCTGGAAAACTCAACATCAGTATTTTCTCTTGCAAAATTAAAGCGTTCCAAATTTAAATGCAGGAAAAGCAAAAAAAGCACTTAAATTTTTACAACATTTACAGCCATACACTGACCTCTATATATACAAGTACGCTGGACTGGCTATATCATACAAAATGACTGTGCCAATTTGAAGCGCCGCTAAAAGATGTCTTGAAAAATAAAATTGACATAATATGCCAAAGTCTTATTTATACTGTCATATTTAAAAAGTCTGTATTTTGAACTTTTAAACTAAAAAACGAAAGTATTTTATATAACATTACACAAGTAAGTGAATTTGCAGCTAATATTTAACAAATTAAAACTATTTGATAATATAAGTACTTAAAAATTTGTTACTATTCTTAATATCATATATACCAACATGTTTGGCTGTATATTACTGAGTTTTGATAAACAATAACATTCAATAGGGTTGTCGAGTTCCTTGTCTATAATACTTATCGATGTTCTTTTCTACCCATATCTGTTAACAAGCAAAGTCGCCAACAACAGATGATTATCAAATGTTTATTAATTAACAGGTTTCCAACAGAACCTAGACTAAAATTATGGCTTAAAAGCATAAATATTATGAATTGGCAAAACAAAATTATCATATTTGTTCCAAACATTTCACAGACGACTGTTGACTGTTGACATTAGACATGAGAACTGTATATGATTACAGTATATATGAGTGCAGTATACCGACAATATTTTCTGGTAGTATCAGTACCACAGTATTATATGGAATGTTTTTTTATTTCTTCTTTCCTCATTTTCCACCAAAATCAAGGGTCATAGCCAAGTGTCGAAAGGTCGCCTGTTGATTTCGAGCCACGTTGGATGTGTGTTAGTGGGCTGCGGCTAGAGGAGATTCCTCTCCCTGTACCGCTGTAGTTGAGGTGGAGTAGTAAGGGAAGAGGAGTGTTGGTATGGCGAT